ACAACTAGTATATATATATATAGAGAGAGAGAGATGTCATCACATGACTCGTTTCTCACATATCTCCTTTAAAAAATGAAAAAGAACATTGTGAATCAAAAAAACTCTTATATGCACCCAAAATTTTAATATCCCGTACATTCTCCAAAACCAATGAATTTCCCTTTTTTTCTTAGATTCCACAATGTATTTGAACTTTTTCACATGTTGTCTGGTTTTTTATTTTTAATCCTCGTATTTGATATTAACAAATTAAAATTAATATAGAAAAGTGAAAACCAGTAAACTATGTTTGATTTTTTAACAATTATAATATATATATATATATATATATATATATATATATAATTGTATAATATGTAAATAAAGTAGCATTTTATAAATTAAAGAAATGGATGGTGAGATTTTTGTAAGAACCTCCATCTAGAGTTTTATTAAGGTTCCCAATATGTTGATGTGGCAAGAAAAAATGTAAAAAAAGTGAGGTTCTTGAAGGTTACACCACTGTGAATGCTCTTATTGCTAAACATTTATCTAGCAAGCATTTAATAAACGATCTTTAAAATAAAAATACCGATAGCATCATAGTATTTTATATTTCTTTATCAACATATATTACACTTTTTTGTTCTTTTGTTTAATTGTTGAATGACAGTCTAAAAAACAATACAATCAAGCCGATTCAATCCAATTATATATATATATATATATAGGTGGGGGAATGTATGGAGCCTGTTTGGCTAGACTGGACAGTTTTGGATCGGATTTACGGTTTGTTCTGAGATATTTAAGTTTGAATGGTCTTTTTTGAACTGGAATCCAATATTATCTTAAAGTGGCTTTGGTGGGTTATTATGTTCTTCCTTGGAAGAGTGTCTTCATTGCAATGATATCCATATAAACAAGCATGGGTGCACCAACGATGAAGAAACGTTTTTAAACGTTCAAAAATGTCGAAAAAGAACCAAACCAGACAAAAGGTTGATGTTTTGCGATGAAATTCTTCCTAAAGTTTCGTGAACTTCTGCAATCCACAATTTATATTCAATGTACATGATTTTTTTTCTTTTGTTAAAATCGATTATTATAATTTATGTTGGTCTCTTATTATGATTTATGCTTATAAATTCTTTGGATTTATATGGATCTTCATTTACGAGTGGTGTTTTGAAGTCAAATGTATAGATAAATGGTTAAAATGTGTGTGTATATACATACATACGTATATGTATCTGTAACATCTCACTCCAGAAATCCCTAAATTACCAATTTTATAAAATCTCTAATAAAATATAATTTATTGATTGTTAGGACCCAAAAAAATTGATCCTAATTATTCTAAAAGTTTTATCAAAGCAATCGGGGTCAATGATGGAAAATCTGAAGATGCTGCTGAAATGACTAAGTATGGAGGAAGACCAGAGCCCCTATGGACGGACCAGAGGCAGGCGATGGACCAGGCGATGGACCAGAGTCTGCTGAAATGACTAAGTCTGGAAGAAGACCAGAGCCCCTATGGACCTGAGGCAGGCGATGGACCAAAGGCTGCTGAAATGACTAAGTCTGGAAGAAGACCAGAGCCCCTATGGACCYGAGGCAGGCAATGGACCAGAGGCAATGAATTTGTCCAGAGGCGATGAAAATGGATCAGAGACGATGAAAATGGACCAGAGGCGATGAATTGGTCTAGAGGCGATGAAAATGGACTAGAGGCGATGAATTGGTCCAGAGGCGATGAAAATGGACCAGAGGCGATGAATTGGTCCAGAGGCGATGAAAATGGACCAGAGGCGATGAATTGGTCCAGAGGCGATAAAAATGGACCAGAGGCGATGAATTGGTCCAGAGACGATGAAAATGGACCAACCCTTTGAAACACACAGATTTGGGCATAACATTAATTAACCTCAAAATATGGGATATTAATTTCTAGAAAAACTTCGAAATATCCGTTCTATTTTAGTGATAAAACCACCCGAAACATAATTCCAAACCGGATATAACGGAGTTTTTACTTACAACCCGAATTAAGTAGCAAAAGAATACGGGACAAGACTATATATAAGCTACACATACTACAACTATGAGATACGGTAATAAGCTACTATTTACCCAAAAGCAAGATCGTAATCTTCAAGTTCCCCGATAAATCTTCAAGTCAAATAACGAGTTCTTTCTTTTTATCCGTCTTCTT